GCTATATAGGAAAATATTACGATTGGAAATTGAGTATTGCACAAGCGACGGTTTAGATTACCCACTCAAGTATTGCCAAGAGAAATCGTCGATAGAATCCGTCACATATGTCAATACCTACAAATACCATCAAAACGACATATTTCCTCACAGTCACGAATTCTAACATGACAGGAGAAATCGTTTCAATTTCAATTTTTAAAATTTTTTCATATATGGGACCCCGAAGATTAATCAGTGCTTCTTCGTACATTTATAAAAAAAAAAAAAAAAAAAAAAAAAAAAAAAAAAAAAAATGACTGATGCTTTGACCTAATTGGCAATTAAAATCTTCAAAGGAATAAGAAACAGCGAAAAATTAACGACAGGGGTGTTTAATTCATAGGGAAAAAGGAAAAGCTCACTAATTTTATTACCTTTTGTCCCATTTCATGCAGATAAATGAAAAAAAAAGTCAAATTTCAAATCGGTAACTAACTGGAAAAAGCAATGTATTGTTGTGGGAATACGAATTTTCAAAAAAGATTCATCAAGAGATAGGAAAAATTATATAATTATTGTTAATTATATACGTACAAGTAAAAGTTTAAGAATTTCATATAATTTTTATTTAAAAAAAAAACCTAAATGATGATTTATTTAAGAGATAATCTTAAAGAAAACCATTAAATTAAAAGGAAGTTAAATTTATTCTCGGAATTATTCGTGATTATATAAAGAAATGATGTTATTTAAATTTGTTTTGTCTAGAAGCGTGAATTGTTATATGTGCAAATACATAAAATATGTAATGATTGCAAATGCCTTTCAGATGAAGTCTCTCTAAAAATAATCTTCATCCGCTCTCAATTTATCATGTTCCAACATTTATAATTTTATTAAGATTTTTAAAATATACAAGGTAAAAAAATGTTTCTCCCCAATGCATTTAAAATTGATTATGTATACATTAAAATAACTTAAAAAAGAAGAATGTTTTATTTATTTATAATTAAAATTACTTTTTTTTAACAAGAGGAAATTAAATATTATACAATATGAAGAAGATTAAATACAAAATAAAAATCTTTATGAAATTAAAGTATAAAAGAGGATTTAAATTTTTTTTTTGAGAATATTAACATTTCACTCAACATCGTGCCGCTTAACTAAATTTGAAATTCATTTAAATGAAACAAAATGTCTTGTTTCTGATAATATACCTTTTCAAACGATTTATAGCAGGAAAATACTTATTATGGTGATTATATTTATGATTATAACATATACTATTACAATATATATGACAAAAGTAATGCCGATATGTTTTATTGTCTATTTGTATTTATTATTATTTTAATTATCTAGTTTTCGATGAATAACTATTATTATATTATATTGTATTATATTGTATTAATATTGATAATTATTGGATATAAATTATTTTTGACTGTTAAGTTGTCTATGGCAATTGTTTATTTACAATAATAAGTAATTTACAATTAATAATTATTAATTGTACATAATTCACAAATATAATATAATTAGCTATACCAAAATGTTTCATACTTTTGTCCATAGGTGTTTTTGAACTAATAAATTTACTATAATCGTTTTGTCAAATAATACAGAATAATGACATGCAATTTTTGATAATACATTTGGCATATTAATTTATGAATAATTCGACGACATATTAATTATATGTAGCAACGTATCATTATCGCTTTTAGTGTAATGGCTATAATTACTAAAAACATATTATTATTATTATTATTTTAAATCAATAACAATTGATATTTTTCTTTTCAGTTAATGTAGCTCACTAATTAATTAGTTATATTCTTTTATCTATTATAATTAATTATTCAACTTGAAATGAAATATCATGAAATAATTAATTATTAGACTAATCAAATTTTGTAATTAATTCAATTTATTATTTTCAATAAATCGCTAAAATAATTTTTTTTTTCATTTTATATTTCAAGATTTCTTTTCAAATCTCGAGTAATTTAATGAGTTCAATTTGTAAGTGACAATATCCGTTCTATATTTGCTCAAAGAAAAAGTTAAAAACTTAAATGTAAGTATAATTTATCTCCATTTTCCTGAAAAATGTTGCCTCCAATCGAGAAGTTTAGACGAAAAAAAAAATTGAATTAATAAAAAGAAATAAATAGAGAAAAATAAAAACATAGCAGGAAAAAATAAAAATAAAGACACCGCTCAGAGGCGGGTTTTTATAATAATTCATAACGTTCTTGTTTTTTTTTTTAATAATAAGATGGATTGGAAAATTTAAATAAATCTGTTAATTCGTTTATTGAGTTATATACATAGAACAAAGAACTTTTTTCTTGTTATAAATTTTGTAAAAAACTAGTAGCTAGAGTATCAACATTTTCTTGTCCCAGGTGTATATTTCTATATAGGTTTAGAGAAGAAGTAATATTAAACGCAAATATTATTTTTGCTTATTAGTCAAGTTCTATCCTGTAGAGTTTCTTTTTAAAAAAAGGTATATAATGTTAATTAAAAAAACAAAAATATCAGTAAGCATCAAAAAAATTTTCTGATATTGAAAATTTGATAATATTTTTTAAAAAACTATAGATGCTGCAAAAATTTTTTTTGAGAAATTTATTTTAATATTTTTTAGAATATTTTTGTAGAATTTTTATTAAACATTTATTCAAACATCTTAATATAATAATACCTACGATAAATATTCCAATATATATATACAAAAAATTCCTCAATAATATTTTTACAGTATTCTAAAATATATTATCCTTACACTATTTCGCAGAAGTATTTCTACAATATTATTTTAATTATTATTTTGATGCGCTGAACATTAATCAATTGAAAATGTCGAATGCAATATGGAGGACAATTTTTAAAAAAATATTGCATCCGCAATTTAAAATTTTTTAAATCTGACGTCGGATTCGTGATCAGCGACCCCAAAAACCCCTAGATACTGATTTGCATGAATATATATAATTAAAAAAAAAAATTATCTGACATATTGCATCAGCCATTTTGAATTTTGAAAATCTGAGATCAGATTCATAATTAGCGACCCCAAAAATCCCTAAAACCCAAGCCCACAAGAATTTTGAGTTACTTAGTTTGATTATATAAAAACACTAGCGCCACCTATGCACAGACGTGGCAAAGCTTCTCGTAGTGCCATTTCATTTTTCGAGGATTAAAAGTAACGTCTGCTGTGACGTCGGTGCATTTGTAGGAACAAAAAAAGTTTTGTGAGCGATGTGATTAAACATAAAAAATGAATAAAGAAAACAAGAAATCGGCAAGGTAAGTTTATTGCATGTATTGCGGGGTTCATGATTGAAGAAAATATGAAGTGAAAAATCGAATCGCGAAACATTTCTGGTTATGGTTGGCACAATTCGAAAATGGTACTTCTACTTAGGGTTGGACAGTTTATACACTCAGGGTTGGACACCTCGTTAATATTATGAATTTTACACAATTTATAAATAAATATACAAATAAACATTGATTCACACACACACAGCACATATTCTGCCAAAGATATTAGAAAAATAGTAATAAAATTAAAAATGAACTTAAAAATCGTTTACAGTAGGGGAATAGTGTCAGGGTTGGACACAGTTTTGGTTTTTTGTTTATAAATATTTTGTTTAGATAAATTCAGTCAATTGTGGTATATGGGTGGAAAGATCTACAAAAGAGGAACACTTTTGCTGTGGACCGTAAATTGATTGGTCCAAAATTAAAAAAGTTATAAACATTTTAAAAAAAAATCTAGTCAGGGTTGGACTTTTCAGTCAGGGTTGGACACTTTTTGAAAATCGAAACGCATTATTGGTAAAAACGTAAAATAACATTTGTAATGTTTTTTATTCTTATTTTTTCATGTTTATCTTTACTTATTGTTTACAAATTGTAAAGCTTCATGGGTTTAAAAAAGGAATGAACTCAAATTATAAAAAATAACGCTTTATTGTTCCAAATAACTCAATGAAATGATGAACAAAATTTATACAATTTAAGTATTATTTTTCTAATATCTTTGGCACAATTTTGCACTGAAATATCAATAAAATAAAATTTATTTATAAATTGTGTCAAATTCATAATTAATATGGGTGTCCAACCCTAACTGTATAAAGTGTCCAACCCTAACTAGAAGCATCATTTTCGAATTGTGCTAACCATAACTAGACATGTGTCGCGATTCGATTTTTCACTTTTTTTCTTCTTAAATTATGTACCCCACAATACATTCAATAAGCTTATCTTGCCGAATTCTTGCTTTTTTTACACATTTTTTAGGATTATTCACAAGTCAAACAAAACTTTTTTTGTCTCTTCGATTGCACCGAAGTCACAAGAGACGCTACTTTTGATTCTCCAAAAATGTAATGCCACAAAAAGTTAGGTTATACTACTAGAAGATTCGTCACGTACGCACACAGGTGGCGCTAGTGTTCTTATTTAAAAAAAGCCAAGTGTCCAACCCTGACAAGTGTCCAACCCTGACACTATTCCCCTAACGTTATAAATAATATTAATTGTCAACTGTCAATAATAATAATGTAAAAATGAAAAAATTAACATAAAAACGTTTTCAGTAATGTTATAAATGTTATTTTATTTTTTTAACCATAATTTGCTTCGATTTTCACAAAGTGTCCAACCCTGACTAGATATTTCTTTTTTTTAAATGATCAGAACTTTTTTAATTTTAGACCAATCAATTTACGATCTTCAACAAAAGTGTTCCTATTTTGTACATCTTTCTAACAATATAACTCAATTGACTAAATTTATTTTTTTTTAAAATAATTATAAACAAAGTCCAAAACGGTGTCCAACCCTGAGTATATTCCCCTAAATAATTTTTCGTCTTAAAATATAATTTTGTTTTCTTAATTATTGATCATAAACGTTGTGAAATTTGGACAATAATAGTTTTTACAATATTTTGTTTGTTAAATAAAAACAGAAACAAATATTCTTACCTTGCATTTGGGATATTCCTCCTCAGGATTGGGCCTCTTCCAACCCAAAAGTGGTGGAATGCATATTAATGCCGACAACAACCAAACGAGGGCAATCATAAGTGCAGCTCTAAATGGAGTTCTTTTCTTGAGATATTCAATTGCCTGTGTGATGCTCCAAAACCTGTCTAAACTTATTAGACACAAGTTCATAATACTCGCGGTACAAAGTAAAACATCCATTGCCGAATAAATGTCACACCACCAATATCCAAATATCCAATAACCCATAATTTCATTAGCAAGCGAAAATGGCATTATAATGAGACCAAGAAAAAAATCAGCCACCGCAAGACTAGCTATAAACCAATTTTGAATGTTTTTCAATGCCTTCTCAGTGGCTATTGCAATGATAACAAGCATATTACCAACAACAATGACAATCATCAAAAATGTTACGACAATTGCTGCGAACACTATTGTTGGCAAACTATAACCAGATGGATACATACTAAGAACAAAGTATGTTTTATTTTCAAGACTTTTATTAAAAGAATAAAGTGTATCGTTAAATAATGATGATGAATTGTAAGCTAAATCAAAATCCTGTAATGGATCATCAAAACCAAAAAGAAGAAGATTGTCCTCAATTTCGGTAGTCATGTTGCTTTCGATGTCCGTATTATCGTAATCAACAACACTTTTTTCCGTGTCACTATTAATAATTGTCCTCTCGTTGTCACTATTATTCGTTTCAGCACAACCACTTTCACAATCACAAGACAATTTTTTCGTATCTTTTATAACGGTAATATTCGCCACGTTATCTTCTTCTTCACCACCACCACTGTCAGTAACAATTTCTTGTGGATTTTGGTGACCAGCTATTGTCGATGATTGCTGGTCACCGTTTGTTATAATTCCAATTACAGAACTTGATGATGATGATGATGGTGATGTTAATTTCACTGACAATGTTGAAGAAGAAGATAATGATGATGATGATGATGATGATGACGAGCCACCAGTAACGAGAGCAACATTCCACGTGTTCATGTTACCCTCCTCGATGTTGCTCGCCGATTTTAGACTACCTATGCTCATAATGCTGCCAAGGTTCGGCATCACTTGCACTTGCTGCGAACCCAGCTGTTGCAGGTGGTGCTATCTCGCTGGATCCAAAAAACAACAGGAACGTATCCTGGGTGTTATTTCCAGGACAAGGAGCAGCAACAGCAGCAACAGTAAATTGGTAAAGTCCTCGCATCTCGAAGCCAGGGACGACATTCCTCCCTTCTTCAGGATCGTTGCATTATCTTGAGCATAATCCACAAGAAAAAAAAAACAAATCTCTCAATTATTTTTCACCACCGAAAAAAAATATTACTCCTTCCTCTTGTCAATCAATTCTCACTAATTTCAAACTCAAAATAAAAATTCCGTTTTTTAAATCAGATTTCCCTTTTTGAAAATTGAGGAAAATATTCCTTTTTTCTAAATGAGATTTTTAATTGAAAGGAGATTTTTTTTTTTTTTTTCTAAAAAAGAGATAGCGTTTCTTTCATAAGGGGAACGATGGTATCTAACAAGTTATTAACCTCTCTCTCTCTCTCTTTCTCTCTCTGGAAACTTGTTCCGAAAGAATCGTTTTCCTGGCGGATTAAGTTTCTCGATCCTAATTAACCCGTTTAAAATGGGAATTGTCCTTTTTTTGAATTCTCCTACGTTCTTGTGCCTTAGGGCTACTAATCTCTTCTATGTAATAAGCTATTGATAACCTGCCTTAGTTGAACCTTAATCGTTTAGAATCTGTTTTTTTTTCTCTTGTCCTATTATGAATCTATTGTCTTGTTGATAAACTGTTGATAATCAACTTGACTTTAGCGGAAGATATTTGGATCAGTTGTGAATTTTCTTTTTTTTTTTTTGTTCAGGTCAAGGGACACAATTCTTTTAAAAGGACAACGTGAGTGAAAAATTGGTCCCTCTTTCTTTTCTTTTTTTTTATTAATCTTAAACTAGTTTTCTTATTTAATTTTTTTTTCCTATTATTATTCTTTTTCTTTTATTATTATTCTTTTTTTGACCATTAAACACTTGTTTGATGATTATAGGAAGATTAATGCGAATACAAGATTTCCCAGCGGAATATACATATAATATATTTATTTTTTTTTTCTTCTGTTTGCACACGTATTTCAATCTTATTATATGCTTCTCAGATTTCCGTCTTCAATTTCGCTTCCTTTCCACTCTCTTCGTCGCGCTACGTTTCTCAATCAAGTTTCGCGCTAATGATGCCCGCGGGCTAATTAATTATCGCACCGAGGCTAAAAGGCTAAGCTTTGGATACCCGTACTGCTCCGACCTGCTCCTCTGAATTGTACGAGAAAAATTTTTATAAAAGAATCATTAATTCTTTGAAACGCGAAATTTTTTTCTACAATCTATTACTCGTTGAGAAAGAAAAACACGTTCAGTATATATATATATATATATGATTCGATATAGGCAAAATATGTCTTCTTGATTAGAATAGATTATTACATTTTTTTTCCTTTTTTCTTACAAGTTGCTTTTTTACAATTTATATTTTTATCTTAATGATAATTTATACAAGTGTATATAATTATTTTGTATACAATGAAAGAGAGAAAGAGGATTTTTTTGGGGGAAAATTGGAGAGAGAAAGAGATATATATATATATATATATATATATATATATAATATTGTAAAATGACGCTTGTTTTCGTTCGTTATCCAGTTAATCGAATTATACAAATCGTGGATAATCCTCTTATGTGTGCTCCTATTTACATGTGTTCTCAATTGAAGGGGAAGTCTTTCTTCGATCACGTGCAAATTGTTGAATTTCCAAATTTTTTTTCGTATTTATTTTATTTTAATTTTCATTTAATTAAAATGCAATTTAAATTACACTTTTTTTAAACAATTCAAATTCTGAATTTTGAATCGTTATTATTAATTTTATTTTATCAATTTTAATTTTTAAGTCATTTGTCTTTAAATCCAGTCTTATACTTGAAAAACAAGTGGGGAATATTTTTAAATATGACAATAAATTCCGAATGAAATTCCTTTAAGCAAACAATCGACGTTAAAAAGATGAATTAAACACTCTCACTTCGAATAACAAACTCTTGGGAAAGTTTCTAATTTTCAAGGACGTTCTACTTCTTCTTTTTTTTTTTTATACTAAAGCAATTAAGAATACAAAAATCTTTTTTCAAATTTTTGTTGACAATTTATTAAATTTTTTTTTTTTTTTTTTTTTTTTTGAATTTATTTTTCTTCTCTTTGTCCGTAAAAATTTTTTTTCAATTTTTTGACGGCGCTTGCCACTGGACTATGTCGTTGAGGATATGCAGGACAAGCAATCTTCTCGCTTGGTGTTCTTGATGGTTCCACTGAGTTTCCTCAACATTTTGCACCACACTTCTCACTATTCTTTATTCGGTCTCACGTTAACGCTGTTATTTTTATAACCCCGAGCGAGGTCAAAAAATTCACCGCAATGAGTTTCACTATACTATTATTTTCATCACCAAAATAAGCAATGAAAAAAAAGAGTGTGCACTTCGAGAAAATTGACAAAAATTGAATTTTTTGTTTCTTCTTTTGAGAAATGTTTTTTTTTTTCTTTTTTTTTTATTGTTTTGAGAAAAAAAATTATTTTTTTTTTCTTTGAAAAAAGTTTCCTTGATCGACACACGAAGAAAGTTCTCTCAGCACGACGAATGTGTGTAGGAAAATTGCGTGTACGGTTGCACACGATATATATGTGCGAAGAGAAGGGCACTGGCTTGAGTACCCAGCCGGGACACGTACCGTAGGATCACGACCCGTTAACCCGAGTAAATCCGAGCGCGCATGACGGTGACTTTGTCGACTTTTGTAAAGCGGCACACAACTGATGACTGACTGACTCTGGAAAAAGGGGAAAATGATTCAGATATTTGGAAGATATGATTTGTAACAATTTATCATATAATTGACAAAAAGAAAATTTTCTAAAAAAAAGTCAAAGCTATAAACAAAAATATTTTTTGTATATATATATATATATATATATATATATATATATATATATATATATATACACGAATAGGAAGGAAAATTGAGAGACAGAAGGAATTGAATTTTCATTCCGTGCACACGTGGTTTCGAATCGAAGAAACCTATCAAGCATTTGCTGAGGCAGTCAACACATTCTTACCCCGTGTACTTTCTCAACAACTTTTCCAAAGATCAGACAAAAATTGCACAAAAAGTTAAATTAATTTTTCCAACTTGAAAATTCAAAAATAAACAACTTTTATATTTTTAAAAAAGTTTTGATCTCATACGTAAAGAAAAAAATAATTAAATTTTTAAAAAAAATTTTAAAACTATCTACAGATAGTAAAATAAATGTATTATTATATGAATAGCTAATTTTTAGTTATTTAACTAAAAATAATAATTATTAGTAACTTATAATTAAATGTCACAGCAAATATTTTAGATGTGAAAACTAATTATTAATTGTATCAACTAACAATAATTGCTTTTTATACAATAAAAATTGGATTTTGCTAAAGTAGCCAAACTTTTTTTTGTCCGTATAAAAATGTGTGAATTTTAATAAATATTGCAATTGAATGTCAGTTGTAAATAGATTAAAATAAATTATCATTACAAAATACAAAAGCCATTGTAAATCATAGACAAAATGTTCACTTCAGAATCATACGAATTTGTCCCAAATACTATGAACAATAATTATGAAAATAATAATAATAATGAGAGGAATGTTAATAATAATTCCAACAATAATAATACAATAATAATAATAATGAGAATAATAACAATTACTGTGAATAATGAAACGAAGCAGTAAAATAGAAAATAATGAATTAAAACTGAAGTTCAAAAAGACAAAAAATGTGAAAGATAAAAAATTTGAAAAATAGATCTGTAAAATAATTAAAAATAGACAAAGAAAAAAGAAATTTTCTAAGTAGATGTATTATAAAAATTTATTGACAAGGAAAAATTGATGAAAAATTCTCTTGAGAGGATAAATGCGTATGCAAAAAGTGTAGGGGGGTATAAAAAAAAAAAAAATTTTTTTTGCCAGTACCAAAAATGTAGTCAAAAGTTGTTCGTACTTGTGCGAAGAGATTTTTTTATTTATTTTTTTTTCACGCGTGATTAGAATTCCCTTGCTCTCTCTATTGGTTTTCGCGAAGGGATTGTGTGACTCGTAATATTTACTAGGATAGAGAGAGAGACACGCAGAGAGAGAGCTGACTAGCCCATTGGAGAGGCTGTCTGCTCCACGACGAGTCCTACGATCAACTGTATGGTAAAGCTTGAGGCGCTTTTCGTTGGTGTCGGGATAAACGATGGGCGCAGGCGTCACACGCAAAGAGGGGGGGGGGGGTTTCTGACTGTATCACCACACACACGATCTACGTTGTTGGCAGTCAACTTTGGTCCATCGACCAATCAGAGGTTTCTTTTCTTTTTTTTGCTTTCATATCAGAAAAAACAAAAATCTCATTATAATGCTAATTTTCATATTCAATGTGTCATATATATGACTTGAGGTAAGCTATATGATACTTTGAATAATAATGAAGATGCTGTCGTTTTAAGAAAAGAATCAATAGAATTTTCTTTTTTCTTTCTGATAATTTTTCTTTGAGCACACATGTCTCTCTCTCTCTCTCTTGGACATGTGAAATTTGTGGTTGTTGTGTATGAATGAGAATCATGTAGAAGCGGCTGTTGCCATTCTCATCTTGAAATATGCACACTACATTTGCTCACTATTCTGTCCATGATTAATTACAAGCCCTTGGTACAAGGTGATCGCACGAGTTATCGTCTTGTTTTATATATATATGTATACTCGTTTTGCATCATTGAAGACACACTCTGGTTTCAACAAGGTAAAATGAAAGGTCTCTTAAAATGACATTGTTGTAAACTTTTGGTGTATTAAATTTTATAGAAACTCTCTAAATTTAAATTAATGAGAATTCGTTCACTATAATTTAAATACACTGGAGCTTCATTTATTTGAAGTTTTACTTATTTAAAGTCGCATTTATTTTAGCAGTTTACAGTCTCACTTAATTTTAGTTAGGATTGGCGAATAACCTCACTTATCGTGATCTAACTTTCCCATTGGTTTGAACCAGGCCAATCAAATGTTCTCGTTAATAAACTGTACTGTTAAAATAAGTTCAACTTTTTGCATCAAATTGATTCGTCCTTCACAAAAAATTATAAAATATTAAAATAAGCTGCAACGCTTATTATTTTAATCCAATTTTGCTTATTTTAATACCAAAATGGATTAAAATAAGCAAAATTGGATTAAAATAATAAGCGTTGCAGCTTATTTTAATGCCTTTTAATTTTCTGTGTTGTTAAAATAAGTGAAGCTCCAGTGTAAGTTCCGCCATTTTGGATTTTCAAAAATTGACATCGAATTCGTAATTAGCAACCCCGAAAACCCCCGAGTAACGAGTTTTAACCCCTTCACTGTTATTGACCTCTATAGAGGCATAAAAATATCGTGCCACCAGTGTGTGTATGACCGCTATAGTAGCATCTAGAAAAAAATAAGTAGACACAATACGATAAACTTGTCAGTGGGTATTCTTAGGTATGGTAACATCAAGTTTTTTTTTTTTAATTTTTTTTACCACATACGGGGCACGGAAGCTTTATTTCTGCTACACAGCGAAGGGGTTAAGAAAGTTTATTTAGTTTTTTTGATTTTATTCATTTATGACTTTTTTTCGCTTTTAACACTCTTTTTTAAACTTAAAACTTAATTATTAAAAAATCTGTCCATTTTTTTGAATTTTGCCATATATATTTTTTTTGTCCAGGAGGTCAAAAACTACAAAATTACAAAGTTGCAAGAAATTTTACCGGACACCAAATTCATATATATATATATATATATATATATATATATATGGTGCGGGGTTCTTTCTACAAATTTTTAGATATTTTTCACTAAAACTTTAGTAAAACAAATATTACTCAATCTTATAGTTAAATTTTACTAAAAAATTAGTGAAAATTTTAACTAATTTAAATTAGTTTTTGTTTTTGAATTAGTTAAATTTTACTAATTCAAAAACAAAAAGTGAGTCACTAATTCAAAATTAGTTAAAATTTTTACTAATTCAGATTTAGAGAGTATAAAAAAAAGATGAAAAAGAAAAATAAATAAAATATCTTTTCTTTACTGACCTATTTTATAAAACAAAAATCAATTACTAACCCGACGAAAACAAATATATGGAAAAATTTCGTGAATTCATGAAAATCCATGTTTAGATTTTTATAATGTTAATATTTAGTGGTTAAAGTAAGTTTTAGTTATCCAAGAAAGTTTATATTTCTTTTAATTTAAAGATGATTAATAACCGTAAGTTCTAATTAGAGGGAAGAATTTCACTTTATGTTATTACAATGTCAGTAGTGAAAACAGATTCTAGTCAGACATCAATATTTGAAGTCTGTAATGTATTGTAGCAGTAGTAAGAGTCAGTTATTTGTCAGACAGAAGTATTGAAATTCTAGTAATTTTAGTATATAAGTAGTAAAAGTACATTTTAGTCAGACATACATGTTTAAATATAGGTAGACGTTTCAATTTTTTTTCAATTTTAAATCAGTATAGTAACAATTAGTTTTATTGAGCAATTAATCAAAGTAAAAGTACTTTCTTTTAAAATTAAAAAAGTACCAATTTTACGAATTGGAGAATAGTATAGCTAAAATTTGTACTGACATGAGTACAATTTTCGTTAGAATAATGCCACTCTTGACAAATTGCAGTGGAGAACAATTTTTCTAAATTTCACTGCGCAAGGGTTCCCTTTTTTTCTCTTCAGTTGATGTCAAGAAGAAAACAATTTTCGTGAAATTGAACGCAAAGAACACCATTGTCAAGAGAGTTTTGCTTCTGAATATAATGATAAATAATGGTGCAATCATATATCCGTAGACATTTCGAAAGGCACATTAAAGAGAAGAAAAGATAAGAGAAATATTCGTTTCACGAATAATGTGTTAATGTGATTAATCCATTTTGTCTATTTTTAGGCATCTTTCGTTTTCCAAGTCTTTAATTTAGTTGGGATTCAGCACCCTAGTACATTTCGAAATCGTTTCATTCCCTGGCACCTTTGGTTCAATCCATTATACCATTTAACTTTCTTTCCTTCCTTCTTTCTTTCTTTCTTTCTTTCTTTTCCTTCCCCCAATTCATCAAACCAAATGACTCATATATAGATAGAATAAAAAACTGACATTTCTTCTTAATCGTTGTGAAAAAAAGTGTTTCAAATTTCAATTAAGTTAACACTTTAAAAAAGATTGAACAAAAAATTAAATATTAATTTTTTTCTAAATTTGGAAATTAAAAAAAAATTTTTTATTTAATTTTTCATTACACATTATTTTCTGCATCTTTTCATAGAACTAACTATGGTAATAATTATTTAATTCATAGGATAAGTAGAGAAGCAAATATGCTAGCAGATGAATTGGACTTATTTGATAGTAATACGATCAGATTTAAGTTATCTCTAAAAACAATTGTACTTAAGAGCATTTGAACCTTCGTGACGTCACAAATCATGGCGCATGACACGCAAACTTCTCAGGTATGTGAAAAGCACAATTTTGAATATTTTTTAAAAAAACCTTTTGGAAAATGTTCAGAATAACATAGACTCTGTCTGTTATGTGCGGAAAATTCAAAATTTTGCGTTTAAAAAGTTTTTTAAACAATGTTAAGGTCACAAATCATGGCGCATGACACGCAAACTTCTCAGGTATGTGAAAAACACAATTTTGAATATTTTTTAAAAAAACCTTTTGGAAAATATTCAGAATAACACAGACTCTGTCTGTTATGTGCGAAAAATTCAAAATTTTGCGTTTAAAACGTTTTTTAAACAATGCCTACATATAAGCAATTCGTGTATTTTTCCTTACTTGTGACAACCAACTTAAACATTGTTTAAAAAACGTTTTATACGCAAAATTTTGAATTTTTCGCACATAACAGACATAGTCTATGTTTCTCTGAACATTTTCCAAAAGGTTTTTTTAAAAAATATTCAAAATTGGGTTTTTCACATACCTGAGAAGTTTGCGTGTCATGCGCCATGATTTGTGACCTTAACATTGTTTAAAAAACGTTTTAAACGCAAAATTTTGAATTTTCCGCACATAACAGACAGAGTCTATGTTATTCTGAACATTTTCCAAAAGGTTTTTTTAAAAAATATTCAAAATTGTGCTTTTCACATACCTGAGAAGTTTGCGTGTCATGCGCCATGATTTGTGACGTCACGAAGGTTCAAATGCTCTTAATACAATATTGTGAACGGCTTACCTAGTTTTCAGTTATAGGTTAAACCTATGTATTAAGAGTTATGAAGTTAACTACTTAGATTGTAAGAGTACTTTGTACAAAAGGGCTAGTCACGTTTATTATTAAATAAATAAATAAATAAATAAATTTATACTAATTTTATGCGAAAATTTATTTTGTAATTTTATTTTCTTTTTAGTTAAAAATAATTTTTTTTTTTATGACGCATTTATATTTACAGTAGAACGTGTCTGTAACGTATATAGGGAGTATATAACCTTCAGCCAAGGGTGATCTATGAATACATGCTTTAGTTTTAGTTTAGGGAAGTAGTGAGATAAAATGGAGCAAAATATAAGAAGAATGTCGTCGTAAACCCTAAACGGGCAGTTTGCAATTTAGGCTCACTTTTTTTTCTGTGACCAAAAATATATCGAAGACATCAATTTTTGTCCAATTGGGTATTTCCAAATCTTGGAAAATTATTTTTTCAAAAAAAAGTATAGATATTGTAAATTCGTTTACTATAATTTACAGAATTTCTATACATTTACTTAAAATATTCACAAATTAATTAAATAAATCAAAATCAAATACATAGTCATTGTCTTCATTTTCAGATTTAGACATTGAAATGCGGAAATTCCTCATCAGGAACTTGTATGACTTATTTTTATATAGAAAGAAAATTTTGTTTAATGCATTTTAAGAAAAAAATATAATTTGAATGACTACACAAAACTTCATTCATGATGAAGCAAAAAGAATTCGAAGAAAAAAATGAAAAATTATCGCTAATAAAAATAGGAAATTTGTGTTATGGACATGAGTAATCGGTTGAAATTGGTTATTGAAAATGCTTATCAGTGAAGACTGATATACCTTTTGTGTGACGGAACAAAGAGTAAAGATGGATACTGAACTTGGACGAGCT